TTTGAGATATGTTTGCAAAATCTTAAATGTTCCAATCCATAAAACCTATTGTATCTCAAATGTGTTTTATTCGTATAAACTTCATTTGGGTTCATCCCAGAGGATTGTTGAGACGCTGGATATTGAAATCGCTAATGGCAAATAAGGAAATTTGGGTGCTCTACTACCGTCCTTACTATGTCAGCCTCATTTCATAATTATGAGCGTGCTTTAATAAATTATGAATAATAATATTAAAGAATTAGAATCAATAAATTTTGGATGATATAATTATTTTTTACACAAGAATCGAATGGAGATCATTTAAAAGAACTTGCAAAAGTTTTAATATAGTAAGGTAATAAAGGAGTAGTTTTAAGTAATGAAAAAATAAAAATTTAGTTGTGATAAGATAATATGAGTGATATAAAGGGATCAATACGAATAAAGGGAATTAAAGAGAAATATGCAGAAAATAAAATGAATAGATTTTGTTGACCTACTGAGGAGATCGACAAAGAGACATTTTTTCGGAAGAGTTTATTGTGAGTATTGGATGTGGGTTTGTGTTTTACATTTGATCAGTAATGTGTGTTCTTTTTATGGGCATGAGTAGCCAAATTTATACACAAAAAAGAGGTAAGAATACAATAAATGTACCATGCCAGCTGGGGACATATGGTGGCGCTGCGTGTATCCATGGGACATTTAAAGGTTCCGCATCCACACAAGAGAGATCGTCAATCCTCCAGGGAAGGATTCAAGATGAGATAGACAATTTATAAGGGTCGATTGCTAGGTGAAGAGATCGGCCTCTCTTACCAACGATGCTTCTTGGACCGTCCTTTTCTTCGAGTTTGTGGGCCAACCTGCAGAGGGCATGATCTGGTCTTACCAAGTCGGTTTAGAATCCACATAAATTTTTATGTGGAACATTAATTATTCTTTAATTTAAATAATATTTAATTTTGATTTATTTAACTTAAGTAATATAATTTCCAATCACCATAAATGAATTTAAAATTATTTCCAACATTTTTTATGTAATGACAGTAAAAAATAAAAAAAAATAATAATAATAAATACTACGCATTTAGCAATTCTACTAGTTGACTTTTTTGTCACAAATTATGAACGCATCTAAATAAAGATTTCTCGACATAATTTTTGTTTTTGTTTTTGTTTTTGTATAAAAATACTTCAATTGGGTGACATATCATAATAAATAAATAAATAAACCATGTTCATGTTCCAATATTTAATTTATAAAAATAATTTTAATAGTTACACAATACTTATTTTTATAAAAAATATTTTTAATATTTCTTTCCGTCATAATAAAATTATTTTTAATATTATTATCCCGTGCATCACACGAATCACGATAAATGTATAATAGTAATTGTATAACTCATTTATTTACTATTAAATTTTAATGTGGTTTTTTTTTAGTCAAAGGTGACTTGACCAATTTCTTATTTTGATAGGGTCATTTCAAATAATTATTTCCCACTTCTCCGATCCTATTTCGATCGTCTTCCCCCTTCCCGTCTTCCCTTCCCGTCTTCACTCTTCACTCCCATCCCAGTAACCGTCACCGGTCTATAAATATGGGTTTCCTCGTGATTCCGTGCATTTCATGGCGGCAATTCCATTTCCTAACTGGTTTTTCCCTATTGAGAAAGAATATGAAAAATATAAGAAATTGACACAGATTAGATCTGTTCGATTCCCAAAACCAACTGAGGGAAAGTTGTTACCGAAGATTAGTCACTCGTTTAAGGAAATCAAACCAGTACTGAAGAAGAGTGAAGATCACGATCACCTGACTGCAGTATCCTTTTGGAGAATCTGAGGTATGTGACATGATTCGATTTAATTTCTTCATTCTGGATGAAATTTTTGATGAAAACCTAGAAACGTGAAAAAATGGCAGATGATTATCTTTTTCTAGTACTTAGATGAGCAGTGCGATGTCAAGATGACAAGTAAATTTGCTTTCATCCATTTTGTAGCTTTTACAAACTATTATTCTGTCAGTTTAAGGATATCATGTTACGGACCTCACTGAGATCAATGACAGAACTCTTTATCAAATCGTTTGAAATGGTGAAGGTTTGTTGTTAATGTACAATTCTATCTTTTATACTTCATGTTAAGGTACGTGAGAAGTCAATTTCTGATTCTGATGCTGGTCCAAGTTCTCCCACTGCACTTGAATTTATGTGTTTATTGTGCAAATGAATGTGTAGACTCAATTTGATAATCTAGAAATTTGTGTAGACTCACATTTATGAACTCATTACCTAATGGTTATGACTAGTACGTATTTTTGTGTGTGTTCCAAACCAACAGATGCATTTATGGAATCAGGTGGCTCGGTTATCTTTAGTAGTATTTATATTATTATTTTGATTCTTTTTTTTTTTATTTTTTTATTTATCATCTATGTACATTGTAGACATGTTTGCATTCAGGGAGAATATATAGATGTGGACATTGGCCTACTTTTGCAGTTACCGGTGAATGTTCCTTTTTTGAGTATTGTCCCCATATAGTACTATTAATAAATAAAAGGTATCTTACACGTGTTAGACATGTTTGTTTCCTTTTGATTTTAGTTTAATTAAATCATATCCATGTTTTGTAATGTAGTCTTAGTTTTGTTAAATCGCGAACTATGCACATTGTTTACGTTATGTCAGTTCAAATTATGCTAGCTTCTTTCTCTGATGATGGGATGTTAGCTCAGTCTAATTGCTATCCTGTGATGATGGCCTAATTGATTAATTTGTGGAAATTGCAAATGTAAAAGGCTTTTAGATTTTGAATGAGAGTGCTGATTCATGTAATTTTATTGGTAAAAGTTGGTGGGTCAAAAGTAAATGGAAAGAAGACAAAAACAGCTGTGGATTTTAGTGATATTTTCAAGGCTCAAATGAAGCTTGGCCCAGTGCAGCAAATTAAAGAGGCTTTTAATGTGTTTGTTGCTGACTCTAGCAATCCTCTAGCATTCTAACATATGCCCAATCCAGTAACCTACTTCTCCAAATCCTATATACTTCTAAGCTGCAATTTTTTGGAAAGAAATCAGTGTTTTGTTTTGCTATTAGATAGTGTTATTAGGGGACAAGGAGTTTGTGATCTTGGGCTATAAAAGACCAAAAGCTCCTGTAGGTAGGTTGCCAGATATTATAGGTTATTGAAACTGAAAAACTCTAGCCTTGTACTCGTCGTCAGCACAATTTCTTATAACAAGTTGATTATAATTGGATCTAATTGCTGAGTTTTTGTTCCAACACTTAGGCTGTGGACGTGGAGGGAATTGTGATGGCCGTTACTGAGGGTAGCAGAAGAGTTAAGGGTGTGAGGATTGGAGGTGAAAATGTAGGGAGATATGTTCGATATACCGAGAAACAGATTGAGGCTCTTGACAGAGTTTATGCAGAGTGCCCAATTCCAAATCGTTTTCAGCAGGCAGAGATTATATGTGAAGAACCTGCTCTGAGGGGACTAGATAACAAACAGCTAAAAATCTGGTTCCAGAACAGAAGGTAAAATATTTAATTTTTCTTTAACAATGTACTTATTGATTGGTTATTTAATTTACCTTGTGCCCCCACATCCGCCGTACAAGGAAGAACGAAGAAAGTAGAAAGAGATAATAATCAGATAAGCTTTATGGTAACATTTTTATGGTCTATGAAGGCTTGTGATAGATTTGAAAATTATGTAGTGGTGTTATTTTGGTTGTCCCAATTTAGAGTAGATTGATGCTTATGGAGTTTAGGTGAGTCATTTAGGTGACTTTCAAATTCGTTGTTATATGGAGTTTTTAAATTATTATTAATTTTTTTATCCTTCCCTCATTCCTAATCCTTTCATTCAAATAAAACCGGAAGTGTTTTTTAGCTCATGTTATGGTAGGAATTAATTGTAGTTTCTTTTACTTTATTTTTTTTTCTCTCTCCTCACATCCCTATCCATTAATAAGTTGATATTCATAATTATATTTATCTAAATATCTTATAAAATATCTTTGCAAGATTGTTTCAACTTTTGAAATTTAATAACAATTTTTGTTGAACGTCTGAGTATAAATCAAATCATATAGCTTTATATGATTATTATTGCAATTTATCTTCATTATATTATGCTTCTGTGTTTGCACTATCACTCTTCCCCTACCAGTGGCTGGCCATCACCATTCACTCTATCAACAATAGCCCCATAAGTTGTGTCATCCTTCGTTGACAGTCTTCTCTTCCTAAGGTATATCATCCAAATAGAAATTAGAAAGCGTGAAGGTAATAGAATAGTTGAACCAATTACAGGTAAAATGAATCCATTTCAATTAAGGGAAATCATTAAAAATGGCATTACACTAAAGAAATTATGATCTATTTTCTCATGTTCCCCTATTTTTTGGTCGGGGTGATCCGCCTTTTGTATTTCTTTGTTGGTTCTCTATAAAATTTATTGTTCATCCACTCAATATTTATAACGACCAATCATTATTTTACCTTTTTTATATCACATAACGATTAGTTATTATTTTCAGTGTTTTCAATGGCAATTGGTGGTAAGTGTTATCAATGGCAGATGGCGCAGGCCAAAATCCCGCCATGGTTATGGCATTTCCATAACCGCCTCCTTCACAAATTTAGCTTGACGGTTTTGCAAAAATCCACCAAGCCATACCGCCATGGCTGCCATTTGATATCATTGATTACTCTTTATATCACATTTATTAAAATCATTATTTTTTCAACAACTCTTCTTCTAGCCAAAAAAAATCCTATCTAGTGAAAATGTATCCTATAGAACCCTAGATTTTTGGGTATGAAGATTGGGAAGAGTAGTAGGGAAGTTTGTATGAAAGAAAAAGGTGGCTATTGAATTATGGCAGAAATTTTTATAAGAAAAATTTGGATATTTTAATTCTTCTATTGGCTGTCAATTATTGAAGACGTGTTCTTGAAAAATTGGGAATATACTGGGTATGTTGTTGTTGTTGTTGTTGTTGTTCTTGAGAAATCTTAAGATTTCTATCAGAAGAAAACAAACTTTCATTTTTCATTTTCTATTGACTTCGAACTAATTTAGAAATATGTGAAAATAGTTCGTTTGTCTTGGTTTTTCATATTTCCAGAAGTCGTGAGAAGCAGAAGAAAGAAAGTGACGATATCATGTTAGAAAACAGGCGGTTGACTGCGGCAAACAATCTTTTAAGGCAAGAGAACGATGACTTGCGGCAACATGTTACCCAACTGACAAATGAGAATGAGCACTTGAGGAATCAAATACTTGACGTATGTTACATCACTCCTAATTGATTAATGTCCATCTAGGAAGTTTTGCCTATCATTATCATTTGCCGGGTTTGGATCTTAAATAGATTTATTTCTTTACTAAATATTCTGATCTGATAAAGGATGTTGTGAGTGTCTGGATTTATTTATTTCCGGCTTGCTGCATGGTTATCCTATCCTAAAAACATGTGAAATTTACTTTAACATGCACCAACTAGACATGGCAGGTTTGACAATAGATTAAGTTTACAGAATGAGCCGAGGCTAACTTTGTTTCTTTTTTCTTTTCTTTTGTTTTCCCAAACTGCACCAAAATTCACCAAATTCAGCCTATTTTTTCATAGTTTAGAATTTTTTCTTTACTTTTCTGCCGTGCTCGTTTCCCAGTGTTGTTTTGCTTATAATTTTACAATTTAAAAGTTTTAAATATTTTAATATGATAGAAATAACATATATACTATTATGTGATTTTCTCCTATTAATTACTAGGGTGGAAGTGTCATTTGCAATAGCCAACTTATACTTCTTCAAAAGATTTGTTCTTCAAGGATACTTCTCTTGGTTGAACTTGTGTGATAAAATTTGATGGGCACACTAACAAAAAGAGGTCTTGGACGTTTCTTGTTCTTGGTAATACGTAGATTAGGGTTATGACTTATGAGAGAATAGAGATAAACGTGTTTGGATGCAAGAATTTGCTTTTGCTTCCATAACTGGAAAAACTATTTTGATATATGAACTCATAAGTTGAATTAATTGTTGCAGTTAACATCTCATATTACCACCTTTGATTTGGACCATCTGCTTGAAGAGCATCACCCTGAAATGTGCAGTACAGCGGCTGATAACAATAGCAGGTATTGTTTTTTTTTTTTTCGCAAATAATAGCAGAAGGGTGGCGGATTTGGTACAGTTTATTTAATATTTTCATATTCTACTAAGTGCTTTTTTTTTTATTCAATTCTCTATCATATATAGCCTTTTCTCACTGGCTGCGGAAATCAGGAAAGAGTTCCTGTCCAAAGCTATTAGAACTGCTATTAATTGTACCCTTGCTCCGGGGCTGAAGGTTTTGACCGTCGCTTTTTACAGAGGTTTTTTGAGTCTTCTAATCTTCTTACTATTTTTGTTGATCATTTTTATTTTTCGACTTCTCAGCTTGACAGTGTAGGTGTATGCGGTACTGTATACACCCCTTCTACTTGTGATGGCGTGGCAGCTAGGGCGTGTGCTTCTATAAATTTTGACCCTTTTAAGGCAAGCTCTATAATTATCTTCTTGGAACATGCTATTTATAATTTTATATTCTCCAAAATAAAGATCTTATTAATTACTTGTAGAAGTAATTTATTTTAGTATTATTTCCAAAGATTTGTATAAGAGAAGGTAAGTTTTTTTCTTTTTTCTTTTTTTTAATAAACAACTGTTTATCAAATCGGACCTATTTGCTCTGTATCTCGTTTTCGCTTAGTTTTTCTTGAAAAAATACTTTGTATTTATCCACTTATGTATGTTTGTCAATAAAGTTATCAAATTTCCTATATTAATTGCTATGCAGTCGAGTATTTATAGCTACAAAAATTAGTAAATGTCAAGTCATTATCAATTGAGAGATGAGCTGATGAATAATTCAGTGCGTATTCAGACAGACAATGTGAAGCCACCTGATAACAATAACACAAAATCTGCAAAATATGAAAGAAGATTGTAGTGGTGTTTTTAGTTTTCTTTCTTTCTCTTTTTTTTTTTTTTTTTTTTTTTAACAAAAGCTTCACTATTCTCAGAATCTCNAAAACTTTGGCCTGCCTCACCTCAGTTCACAGGTTCACTCCTGCTCACATATACAATGCAAGTGATGTATTGTGAGAGACCTTGAAACTGAACAACGAAATAAACACAAGTATCAATCATTTCAAGTCGAGCTAAATAAATATGTTATACATCAATCCATTTTAAACAGATCACCTAGGAAAACCGAGCAACCAGTTCAACTTTAATTTCTTTTGCTTGCTTGAACGGAATTCCTTGCAGACATTTGAAATGCTCAAGGACCACCCTTCCTGGTCACGATTTTGTCATGGTATGGATGTTGTTGCCGAGTATCCTACAAATGGGGGAGCTATTGAATTGATCTACACGAAGGTGGGGAGAAATAGGACATTTTACATTTTGAAGTTGGTTTTTCTACCAAAACTTTCCTTTGTTTCTATTATTTTTTCCTGTTAGCCTTATTTTGTCCCATTTCCTGCAGTACTATGCCCCAACTACCTTGGCTTTGGCTCGAGATTTCTGGACACTAAGATACTCTTCTATTTTAGATGATGGCAGCTTGGTGGTATGATTATCTCTTTCTAGTGATGTCGAGATGACAAGTAAATTTGCTTTGATATATTTTGTAGCTTTTACAGACTATTATTCTATCAGTTTGAGGGTATCATGTTACGGACCTCACTGATTGAGATCAATGGACAGAACTCTTTATCAAATCTTTTGAAATGGTGAAGTTTTTCTTGTTAATGTACAATTCTATCTTTTATACTTCATGTTAAGGTATGTGAGAAGTCAATTTCTGCTTCTGATGCTGGTCCAAGTTCTCCCACTGCACTTGAATTTGTGAGAATGAGGATGCTGGCTAGTGGTTATATGATTGGCCCTGGCGAAGAGGGGTCAACCAGACATATTGTTGAGCACTATGATTTTGAGGTACTCTTCTTCCTCTGCTACACATACAACATGAAACTATATGTTGAACTTTTGATGGAGAAGTTGATTTAAAGACAAACTTGTGATAAACTTGTTGCAGGCATCATCTATTCCGGTGGTGGTGCGCCCGCTTTATGAGTCATCTGAACTTCTCGGGAAGAAGACAATTGTTCCAGTAAGTAGATTATCTAGTTTAAATTACCCCATTATGTCTCATATACCTTCTGTTAATTTAAACTACTAACTCTCGATATTTTAATTACTTCTCTCAAAGGAGGTAAGTCACTTCCTTGAAGAGATGTTCGCTAGATTTTTCTCGTATATTAATTTTATAAAAAGGACTCCAATTGTCCATTTCAAATCTGTTTGTATGTGATATGGTTATTGTGAGAATTAAATCCCAGTGTGAGAAATATGGTTAAATCTCAACAACTGGATGTGGTGATCTAATGGCTGACATCGGATAAAATCTTGAATCCCAAAATATCTGCCCCCAAGAGAACTGTTGTTATTTTTCAGTAATTCACAGCTATTGTAAGTGACCCGTTGCTTTTTGTATCTGTAAGTTAGTGCTAATATTCTCCAAAATTTGTCAGCAATTATGAATTTTCACTTGATAAAACTAATTTCAGCAGTGGAGTGCTCTTTTGCAGCATTTTAATGCTACTTTTAATCATGAAAAGATGATTGAATCGTGCGAGTGTGTTTGTGTGTGTGTGTGTGTGTATATATATGCATATATAAAATGAATATATATATATATTTTTTTTTTTTGGAATTTGAATTTAAGGTTTTGGAGAGGTGATTGTTAACGGTAATTTCCAGTTACAGGATTGAGCGTAATGTTATTTTTGTGCAACATGATGCTATTTTCCAATTTATGGTGCTTTAAGTGCTCTGTATTTTTGTGATATTTAGTAAGGGTTATATTTGGAACCTGTATATTGACATGCTTGGTTCTAATCTAGTACAATTTTTTCTACATTAGGATCCTTTCATACAAGAACCTAGTGTGTGTTTTTCTGAAAGAATGGATGAAGTACTTTATCATCATACTTATTTTGATGCATTCTAATTATTATCCACTGTAAGTTCCATATATGTACAATGCCCTAGAATGTGGAGAAGAATTCTCGGCTATTACTTTAATGCCAAATAATTGATTTTGATCTAATATTAGAAATGTATTGATTTTCCTTGCAAACCAAATACTGGCTGTCAATACTCCATAGCTATGTTCCAGACATTAGAAATCTACCTCTATAGGAAACTTAGTCGTAATTTTTTACCCTGGAAGAGGTAAACTTTTAGATTTCGTTGATCTTTTTGTTTCCTTTTTGAGGTTCAGACTGATCAGTTTCCGTTTTTCTCAGTAGAGGAATGTGCAACTTNTTCTTTTGAATTGTATCCGATTGAATCAGTATTGCATGTGTTCCCCCCACCCCCCCAATGGGATGATGTCAAATTATTTAGTTGGTCGGAAATTTCATTTGTCAAAAAGCCAAATTAGATATTCTCAGTAGAGAAGTACCATTTCTAAACCGTACGCTAATCTATTCAAATTCTGGTTCTGCCAATACCTGTTAAAATGCCCTTAGTTCAGTGTATTTACTTGAATTTGCAGTTGTTTTATGAGTATAATATTGGACAAGTTGATTTTCCTATACATAGGCACTTCTTTATATTGATCATATGGCCAATGAGACAAGTGGCATCCCAAGACATTCTTGCTATGAGGATCCTGCTCTTTTGAGATGCTTCTGCCTAAGACTTTCTAGGTAAGATGTCTACTCTACACGTCAATTCATTCTATATTCAAGATTATTTATTGCTGTTTCACCTTAGACATCTACTCCGTAATATCACATCACTATTAAATGATGTTTTGACATTATTTGCCAAAAGGGTAACTGGATAAGGATGGCAGAACAATGGTGACTATTATGTTCCAAATTATTATGATTCATTTTCTTCCAATCTACTTACATATCAAAGAAAGTAAGAAGGAAGTAGAAACTTATGAGGATTACTAATCGAAGGAGAGAACAACGGATGAGAAGAGAGAGAGAGAGAAGAAATAGTAAGAATGAATGAGAAAAAATAGGGATTTGGGGAGAGAAAAACTACACAAGGTTATATTCGTCAATTTCACACCATTGTTAATACTTGATTAAAATGCTAAATATCATTAAAAATGATGAGAGGCCCCCCCTAATATATTGTCACTATGGCATAGTTCTTAAGAATCATGCACACTAAAGTTCTACAGTGAAACAAGAAAGTTTTTGGTGGTTTAAGAAAGTTCCAGAAACACTCACTGAAGTTAAGATGGGCTCATTTATAGTGGTACAGAGCATGAAAATTCAGGGAATTATCAAGTAAATGAGTTTGTAGCTAACAGTACAGTCGAGCATCCATTGTATTCTTGATGATATGATCTATGATGAGTTTGTTCTGAACCACAAGATTTTTGTCGTTCGCTTTAAATCATAAGGTATTTGACTGCATGTGGCGATGTGAAGCATTACATTGATTGTGCATTTGTCACGAGCTTTAATATTACTAAATACATCTATGCTTTTTGTTTGTTTAGGGGCTTCAATGACGCTGTCAATTGTTTCTCTGAAGATGGATGCACATTGATGAATGCTAATTCTAGTGATGGTATTATTATGTCCGCCAAGCGAACCACTAATTTTGGAGTCTATGCAAATTGTGATAGTATACTTTGTCTGAAGGCCTCTTTGCAGCTTCAAGTGAGTCATACTATTTCTAGTTAATAATAAAGTCTTTCTCCTGCAGCATGGACTAGAAGATGAGGATATTTGGTACTTGAGAATCTATTTACTTTGTGAAGTTGTGCCTGCCACCTTTCATCAAGTTTTTGGGCACTACCCAGTGTAACTTTTTGTATTTCTTTTTTACTTATTATTTTGGAAATTGTATATTTTGTTGGTGGCAGAATGTTTTCCCTGCAAGCTTGGTGAAGCTTCTGGCGGAGTGTCGTGCGGCTTGGATGGGCTTCAATGTTAGTGCACTGTTTGGCCAAACCAATAACAAGGATAAGGTTTGTGAGTTTAATGGTGCTTAATTTCTTTGTTACATGAGTTACTGCAGTCTATTTCATTGCTTTTGCAATCTCTTGTTCATAATTTTATGCCAAGCAGTAGAAATTATTTGTTTGGACCGTGTGTAATTATTATTTGGGGGATTTTGTTCATTTGCAGGTAATTCATGCTAGGGTACACACATTTTGTTACTAACATATAGAGATCAAACCCAGTTGTAGAGAAGGAAATCCAGATTTCATAACGTAGTCTATCAGGAAATAGTTTCAAAAAGTCAGAAATATAAAAGCACAACAATAACATAGAGAATCGATGAGATTTATTCTAACCTCCTTTATTGTAAATAATCTAGTCTTATGTAACTATATATGCATAATATTTTCCATACAACCTAATTTCTTTTTAACACGTTGTCGTTCTCTTATGTTTCCAGTTAAAAGAAAAATTAAGCACCTCGAGGCGCAAAACCATTATTTTATTTTTTTATTTTTTTTTTTGGGATTTTTTTTCACCCTTCACCTGCCTCTTAAAGGATGGGGAACAAGGATTAAGAGTTTGTAGATGAATGTCAAGCCTTGCTTTTAGTGCATACTGCATTTCAAAATGGAGACAATCCTTAACTGTTGTGTTGCTATGTGGCTGTGTATTCATTTATAACCTGTATAGCTTGCTATGTGTCCTGACATCAAGAGTAAAAAGGATTTAATTATGACTCGTCTGTCACGTTGAACAATTGGAATTCATTCTTTTATAAGCTGATATAGTTTATTCTGTGCTCCTTTTTTATGCAGATGATTAATGGAATGGCAGATCTTGTTCAGAACTAATCTTTGCACCAATCGACGCAACTATACTTATCTTGTGGATTTCGGATCTTCTTGTTGGGTTCTGATGCAGTTGAGTTCCTAAAATGGCTGTCACCTTTTTTAGACTTCTCAAGGAAATACTTTTTACATTAAAAACTATTATAAACATACCATGGACGAGAAACAAAGTATAGCATAATGGTGACGTTGTATCTGATCGGACAATGAATTAGGAGTCTCATGGTTCAAGCCAATCATATCCACACCTAAACTCGATCTGTATAAAACAAAAGTATTTTTCCCAGGTTACTGACCAAGAAAGACTAGAACTAACACAGAATTCACTATATATTTAAATACTTTAACCTATAAAATTATTATTATTATTATTATTCTGAAGAAACAAATGCCTTTTAGTGTAATAAGCAAATATAAATCAAATCCCAACACTTGATCATGTGAAATGATAATCATAAAGTTTACACTGAGAATAGTTGATATTAGGGTAAACAATGCCAGATGGACAAGAAATGAGAAATCAACTTTTTTTTTTTACTAACCTATAGCTTTGGTGTGTCATGCTAGCTAGGTTCTCAGAAAATTTTTCTCGAGAGAAAATAGCACTACTTTCTTCTGCAGCGTTCACAAATCCAACGTATGCTACTTCCTCAGAAATCATTCACACAGGAAATTACATGTTTCACGTATAGCCTAGCCACAGCTTCAATTTCATCCAGATGTTGTGCTTCATAAGGAAACTGAAAGGCTAGAACTTCAGTATGGATAGATATCTAAAAGCATATTCACCTGCCCTTGAACCTTGAATGGCAAAAAAATGTGGCGTGGTACTAAGGTAAAACCACCTCCATACAAGAGAATGCCAGGAAGACCTAAGATTGCAAGGAGAAAAGCACCTGAGCAAGAAGCAAAGAGTGCTACAACGTTGAACATATTTGGCTTACAAATGAGATGCCAAAACAAAAGAACCTGTAAAAATGAAGCTGCTCCTAGGCCACCAAGGGGGAGTATTAATTGTTGCATTTATACTTGATTTTCTCCTTTATATTTGTATCTTAATCTTAAAGCATTTGTATGAATTTTTGAACTGTAGAAAAAGATTGGAAGGCCAAGATTACAGGACAGACCTTGTCCTCTTGAAAATGAGTTTTCTGACGCACTTCTGAATGACCAATCAAGAATTTATACCCCTATGTAAGGCAGAAAAAGGAAAAATCCAGTTAGATAGGGTACTACACAATCTGGCCCGGGGCAAATGTACAAGGATAGAGCAATGGTATTATGAGGATTGTCTGAATTCCACTTTCATTAGTAATAATCTTAAAAAAGTGTTGTTCAGTTCATTTTTGTGTATCTAATGCAGGCAAGAAAGGGCTATGGTGTTTACCAATCTGAAGAAACTGGTGCAATTTACATGAAGATGAGTAGCTTTCTTTATACAAATTAATGGTGCATTATCTGTTAGATGAGGGTGAGTAGGTCTAATTAACACTATTTTTTTTTAATATCTTCAATGTCAAGTGACAAAACGATTCATTGTTTGTCATCACATGGAGGGACCAGCCAAGTGACAAGAGGACCTGGAGGAGACATTGTATGAGCACAAGAAAGTGTGGTCAAGTAATT